TTCCCTTTCCCTGACACATCCATGTATGACACAGCGTACGGCTCAATGTCATCGTTGTCTTCTGCTGTCTGGATATCGATGTTAGCAAAGGAGGTTGTTGCATATGGCGCAAGCTTGCCATTTTTCCCTTTCCCTGACACATCCATGTATGACACAGCGTACGGCTCAATGTCATCGTTGTCTTCTGCTGTCTGGATATCGATGTTAGCAAAGGAGGTTGTCGCATATGGCGCAAGCTTGCCGTTTTTCCCTTTCCCTGACACATCCATGTATGACACAGCGTACGGCTCAATGTCATCGTTACCCTCTGACTTCTGGTCCTGAGCAGGAGTGCCTGTGACTGATTCTCTGTTTGATGCTCCCGATTGGGCCGAGTTTTCATCTGTTTCAGCAGGGGCGTTGTGCTGGGCCATACCTGTGTCGTGACAGCGTTCGTACAAGTAGACGACAACCCCCGCTGCCAACACCATCAGGAGAGGCACAGCAACAGCCATGATGACGGCATTGACGTGGTAACTGTCGTCTTCCTCAGTGATGATTGGGCCACCGAGAGGAGTGACAACATCAGTCCCTGTGGTAGACTCCGAGCCTGGCCTGGTGTTTGTGTACGGCATCTCTGTTGGAGTGGTGTGGTTGTACAGACTGGTGTGGTTGTACATACTGGTGTGGTTGTGCAGACTGGTGTGGTGGGTATGCGGACCTGTTGTGGAGGACATTTCATCACATCTCCCCAGCCTGATCCCCCGTACATGTGGTGACCTGTCCGTGTTGGTCTGACTGATGTCCTTCCTCACGGTGGCAAGCGGAATGCCGCTCAGGTTTGCAGGTGATGCACATTTTAGGAAGTTAGGATCAGAAATGTAGTCCAGGTCTGGTAGATTACAGATGAACCAGGTGAGATTCGTGTCACATTTCAGCTGGTTGTTTGTTAACACCAGACGTACGGTGTGGTTGTGACTCAGACGCAGGACTTGGCTGTCAATTGTGGTGATGCGGTTTGTTCCCAGACTTACAAGCTTTAGTGCTGTAAGTGGCAGGAGCGCGTCGACAGGCACGGAACGCAGCCGGTTCTTGTCCAACATCAACCATGCAAGGAGTGGTAGGCCACGTAAGGCATGCTGGGATATGACGGAAATAGCGTTCCTTTGAAGTTTCAAGTCAGTTACCTTCTCAAGCCCAAGGAAGGTATCAGGTTCTGAGGATAAACAAAACAGACTATACTTTTAATCATTTCAATTTTGCAGGGATTTAATAAAAGCCAAAGTACAATGTATTGATTATGAAAATGGCAAAACAAATACCAAAAGTGCAATCATGGAGTATCTAACAGGATAGTTCATCATATTAGTCCACGGTGGACAAAGTTGGGCTCCATTGTTCCCACCTTTTTTAGAATCCGAACTATGTATCATGCTTGATCAATTCAAACAAAACGCGTATTCCATTTGGGGTCCCTTCCAGTAACCATACTACATGTATTTTTTTTATTTTCAAAATATTATGCATCTTGTAACACGATAATTTGCCAAATGCACCTAGCAGCAGAAAAGAATACACTACACAACCTACCTACTAAAAAGAACTAAATTTTGAATTATGGAAGAAGGCCCATCCGCACATTCCCAAATTCCAAAAATACACATTTTTGCCAACATACCAAGACTGGAGATGCGGTTGTCATCAAGATAAAGCCTGGAGACCAATGGGAGACCTCGGAAAGCTCCTGGCTGGACCCTGGAAACGTTGGACGTTCGGATCTGAAGTGTCTCTACTCCTGGGCTGTTGGGGAAAGACCATTCCAAAACAGTAGGAGAACGGACATGCTTGATGAAGATCGATTTCGTGGTGTTGTCGAAGTTGGTTGGTATGGCATCGAGACATGCGGGGAAGCTGTACGTTCCTCCGTACCCAATCCAGCTGCAGGGGGACCCCGCCCAGTTTTCGTCTGGGCAGTGACAGACTTGCCTTCCTTCCCCAATGTCAATGGAGCGACAGCTTTCAGGGCATCGCAAAGCTGCTAATGACACGAGAAGTAGCTGATTGGAAACCAAGATTAGGAAGTAGAGGAGTGTCTCGTTTCTTGCCATTGTGGTTAGTAACAGATTTCTCCCTCACTGCAATGCGTGACTGTTCATTGAGCCTTATGTTGTGTTGCCGGATGTACTGTAGTACATACATGATACATTTTATGCTTGAATAATATACATTTCATTTTCACAATGCTATTTTTAAAGTCTGGGGAGCATGCATTTTAATAGGGTTGGCCATTTCATCATTTCGAAACATTTCAGACATAAAGTTTTACTTTTCAAAATTTAGAGTCCAGGATATACACATCTATTATATATAGTTGAGTGACATACTACAGCCAGAGCTGATGCCAACTACATAGGGTGGCATAGTTAGTGGAAATGCGCCTTTAACATGTACTCCATACTACTTTTTCATTGTAGATTTGTGTTTGTGTAAATTTTCATAATAACATTACAAGATAAATCTTGTCATTCTGTGCACATTCACGTCAAGATAAATCTTGTTGATCCTGACTTGTACATGTTTTTTGGCAGGGTATTAAATTTTGGATTCAGTATGGACATTGTAGAGTAGTTTCCTGATACAGTGGATTAAGTTTTAATATTCAACACTTGGACAGAGCAGCTCGAAATTAATCCTACCACTTTCAGGCTGCATCTCTTTGATCTGCGAGATCTCAGTCCTTGATGAGTGGAATACATGGCATATGTGTACTGATGAATGGAATTCTTTCTCCATCTTGCCGGGCTCATAGGAGACAAACTTCCCGATACATTACACAACTTGCTTGTGGTGTTTGGTCAGACTACTAAGGCATACAGTGTACATGATAATTTGTTTTAGCGCTTATGTAGACAAAATGAAAATATATTGTCATCTAGGCTGTGTTTTAATGCATGTGAGATGTGCTGTCCATGCTCTCAGGCTGCCTATGTGCTGTGTTCTAAAGCATGTGAGATATGCTATCCCAACTCTCAGACTGTCCGTGAGCTGTGTTCTAAAGGATAAGTGATTTTGAGATGTGCTGTCTAAAGTCTCCATCTGTCCTTGAGCTGTACATGTATGTGTCCTACAGCGTGTGAGTTTAGCTGTGCTTCTCTGCACCAGTGTGCTGTGAGCTACTCCTGTACAGCTTTCCACTGACACTTGCGACCTCCTTCCCCTCGTCCATTCCATAAGGACCCCTGCCTTCTCTTGTTGATGGACAGCCTCTCTCATAGTTTGGCTCATTGTTTACGTCTTTTGGCAGTGACTGACCCTCTGATTGGTTGAACGGTTGTTTGACGATTGTTTCATCATCATCAGTGACATTTGTCAGTGACGTATAATCTGCCTTTGTATGGCATCTTGGTAGTGACTGACTCCTTGTTTGGGTGACCGGTTGTTTGACGTTTGTTGTCCGTTGGTTAGTGA